CAGGCTGCCCAGGCGGGTCTCGAACCCACGGGCTCAGGCAATCCACTCGCCTCAGCCTCCCAAAGTGCTGGGATTACAGGCTGAGCCACCAAGCCCGGCCTGAAATTATATTCTTAACTCCAAGGGCAAGTACACCTAACCTTAGTCTTCTTACCTCAATAAGAGCTGAATATCGGTATTTCACCGCAGGCGTGTCGAAGCAAGGGAAGAAGGCCCGGTTTAGGACAGCCTGACCCTGAGTGTAGACAAAGGGCTTCTTCTTTCCTGCTGTCTGCTCAGGAGCCAACCAGCAAACCTAAAAGAAAAGAGCATTCCAGAACTGACATCTCCCACATGAGTTTGGTCTAGCCAGAGAAAGGAGTTGGCTGGCATGGGGGAATTTGTTGTCATCTTTAAAATCTTTCTGCCAGTCAATTTGGCTCTGACTAGAAAGTTCTCTCCTATTGTGTATTTAATTCACCCTGGAATCCAGGCCAAAGTATGAAGTCCTTTTCAGAGGGCAGAGCCACCACAAAGGGTTCATTCCTCACTGTATTCCCTGGGTCATGTCAGGAATCCCAGACCTGGCCTCTGGCTCTGCCATCTGTCCTCCACCTATGTCCTTCTCACTGTAGTAGCTGCTCATGCAACAAACATTACTGAAGCAAATTTGGACTTGTGATAAGACACAGAAAAGCAGAACCTAACTGGAAGTCAGTGATTAATATGCGTTCTCCATGCCTAAAATTTACCTTTTCAGAATAAAAAAATTTTCTATTATAAGCATCTATTACATGATTCTTTTTTTTTTTTTTGAGTTGGAGTCTCACTCCGTAACCCAGGCTGGAGTGCAGTAGCATGCTCATGGCCATCCCAGCATCGACCTGCTGGACTCCAGTGATCCTTCTGCCTCAGCCTTCCAAGTAGCTGGCACTACAGACATGCATTACCGTGCCTGGCTAATTTTTGACTTATTGTAGACACAAGGTCTCACCAAGTTGCCCACGCTAGTCTTGAATCCCTGGACTCAGACAATCCTCTTGTCTCCACCTCCCAAAGTGCTGGGATTACAGGCTAGAGCCACCATGCCTGGCCAAACCCAATTTTTGCCCACAGCACAAAGGAGTTCACTTACAACATCATAACTGGGGGCAAAAGAGGATCCCTCTGTAACAAATACCATCTAGAATTTAGAAACAGATTAGATTATTCCAGGAAGATTTCATAGGGGAAGCAAAACTGTCTGGTTGGGTCTCCAAAGGCAAGCACGATTTAGATGGTTGGGAAGGAAGGGGAATGACATTCTCAAGAGACCAAGCAGCAGTATGAGGTGTGAGTAGAGACAGGCTCTGGGAACCAGTGGCACGATCTGAAGACAGAGTGGGGTTGGCAGGCCTGGGAAAGCATAATGAAATGTTTGAATACAGGTGTATGTGAGACCTGTTTTAAGAGGCATAAGGAAGTCACATTGAGAGGTTGAGTTTTTCTTTGAGTTCTTATGTGTGAAAAATTTAATGAGTCTCCATCTAATGAGTTCAGTACAGTATGCAAAGAGGTAGGGAAAAGAACAACTTCACAGTGGAGAGCTGACAAATATTACTTTAGTCAAGTGACAGAGGTCAACACTGACAGGCATAAATCATGTTGATACTATATACCCTTAATATAATGTGATGAAAATGGCACTTCATGCCAGGTGCGGTGGCTCATGCCTGTAATTCCAGCACTTTGGGAGGCACAGGCAAGAGGTCTGCCTGAGCCCAGGGGTTTGAGATCAGTCTGGGCAATAAGGTGAGACTTCGTCTCTATAATACATCAAAAAATTAGCTGGGCATGGTAGCTCATGCCTGTAGTTCCAGCTACTTGGAAGGCAAGGCAGAAGCATCTCATGAACCCAGCAGGTCAAGGCTGTGGTGGCCATGAGCATGCCACTGCACTCCAGCCTGGGTGACAGTGAGACTCCAACTCAAAAAAAAAGAAAAATGACACTTCACCTCTGTGAATTTCCAGTCAAAAACTCATAATCCAAGTCTAACCATGAGAAAAACATCAGACAAATTCCAGTAAACAGGCATCCTACAATATATCGGACCAACACTCCTCAAAACTCTCAAGGTCTTCAAAAACAGGTGAAGTCTGAGAAATTGTCACAGTCTCAAGAGGAGCTTAAGGACACATGACAGTAAAACATAATGTGGTATCTTGCATGGGATTCTGGAACAGAAAAAGACATTAAATAAAAACTAAGGAAATCTGAAAAAACTATGCACAGTGTTGGTTCACGAATTTTAACAAATATATCATACTAATGTAAAATGAATGGTTCAGAATTGGTTAATGTTATCAGTATTGGTTCATTAACTGTAACAAATGTGTCACACTAGTGTACAATAGTAGCAATAGGGGAACTGTGCGTATGTATACAGGAATATTCGGTACTATCTGCTCAATTTTTCTGGTTTATTTTGTTTTGTTTTTTTGAGTTGGAGTCTCACTCTATGACCCAGGTTGGAGTGCAGTGGCACACTCACAGCCACCACAGCCTCAACCTGCTGGGCTCAGGTGATCCTTCCTTTCCACTTCAGCCTTCCAAATTGCTGGAACTACAGGCATGCACCACCACAGCCAGCTAATTTGTTTTATTTATTGTAGAGACATGGTCTCACCATGTTGCTCAGGTTGGTCTCGAACCCATGGGCTCAGGCCATCCTCTCACCTCAGCCTCCCAAAGTGCTGGGATTACAGGCATGAGCCATCATGCCCACTTAATTTTTGTTAATTTTAAAAAATAGTCTACTGATTAAAAAAATTAATGATGTGACAATAAGAGCTAATATTTACAGACTATGCACTATTTACGAGACACCATATTAGGCACTTATAGAAAGACGTCTCATTTAACATATGTCAAGCATTTGGACTAATTGGTGCCTGGCACATCTTAATAAACATTATATATATGATTATATATATAATACATGATATTTATAATACATATATTATGAAAAGCCATCACCCCCCCACCCCCATCAAAACTCCTTATTCATTATCTTTGCCTAGGGTGATTTTTTTTTTTTTGACGTGAAGAAAATTAAGAGGCTAGCAGTCCATACTCATAGAGTCTGACTTCAGGGAGTGGGTGCTATATGCAGTGATTAGGATGAGAACCCTCACTGGCATGGTGGTCATGAGAGAGGAAGGAATAAACACAAGTGCCATCAGTGAAGAGTTTCACAGTGCAAAGGACAGTTCTTTGTCAAGTGCAGACCTCTGGCATTGTCTTAAATGAAAGCTAAACCGGGTTCGGTGGCTCAGCCTGTAATCCTGCGCCTTTGGGAGGCTGAGGTGAGTGGATTGCCTGAGCCCGCGTTTCGAGACCCACCTGGGCAGCAAGACCTCATCTCTACAATAAATCAAAAAATCAGCCGGGCGTGGTAGCGCATGCCTGTAATTCTGGCTACTTGGAAGGCTGAGTGAGGTAGAAGGATCTGAGGCTGTGGTGGCCGGGAGCAGCCACTGCACTTCAGTCTGGGCGACAGTGAGACTCCAACTCAAAAAAAAAAAAAATGAAAGCTATTCAGTTTTGATATGTAATTTGAGATGTCACTTTTGATATGTAATTTGAGATGTAACTTTTAGTGGACAAATTAAGGGAAGGCTTAATTTTTCCAGGTCACCCTGTTTGATTTCAAATTCCTGCCAAAAATCAGGAACCAGAATATCACAGAGCAACCAAACACATTTACAGATGTTATGCTTCTCTGCAGGGCACTGGAATTTTCCTTTGCCTTAGAAGTTAGTCTGCATCATGTGCTTTTGACTTTTCTAAATGAGTTCTATCACAAGGTTCATTTATTTCTCCAGTGGTGAAAGATGGAAATAGAATTGCTCTTTGAGCCAGTCTAAGGGCAAAGGAGAACTGCTAGCCAGATAAGCAGATTTCCAGTATTTGTTCTCCACCCCCCCAAAAAATTAGATTTAACAGTAACCGACAGTGAGAAAGCCAAGTTATTATACAGCCTAGTAAACCCTAATTCCAGTTCTCACTTTTACTCAAATTCTTTTAAAAATCAAGTCCAGGCCGGGCTCAGTGGCTCAGCCTGTAATTGCCTGAGCCCGCGGGTTCGAGACCCGCCTGGGCAACTTGGTGAGACCTCATCTCCACAATAAAAATCAAAAAAATTAGCCGGGCGTGGTAGCGCGCGCCTG